TTGTATCCAGAGACTCACGCTTCAGCTCCAAGCTTTCTGCCCCTGGTGGAAGCCCCATTTCTGGTTCGATTCCAGTTTCGAACATGACCTCCAAAGAGTCAAGTTCTGCTGCTTCAACCGATAGTAAAATCAAAAGGGTTCTTACTCATGGGGGTAGATACGTGCAGTACAATGTTTACGGCAATTTGTTCGAGGTCTCCTCCAAGTACGTGCCTCCCATTCGCCCAATCGGTAGAGGCGCTAACGGTATCGTTTGGTAAGTTTCTCGCCCTTTAGAATTTACTTTAACTTCGCCCTGTACCTGATCACAAGCTCTGAATTTCTGGCTTTTGAGTTCTACTAAGCTATCATACAGGCGATGATAGGAGTCGAGATGTATAGGTTTGATATTTGTGTTGGGAGTTGTTGCTCATGTATCGATATGGATTTTGCGAAACATTAGAAACTTGCACATAAGGAAACCAAAATGCTTGAACATCTCAGAAATAGTTGGTAAAATCTGGCTTCTTAATGAATGGAACGGACGCGATCAAGTATGGATTTTCCCGTCAGGTTCCAAGGTTTCTTTTTGGCCTTATGGTTGTATCAGACATAGAGTTGAAGAATTATAGCCATATCCGGTTGACCATTTCTTTGTACATAACCAAAGTCCTTTCTTTTCAGTGCTGCGGTCAACTCAGATACGCATGAGGAAGTTGCCATCAAGAAGATTGGCAACGCATTTGACAACATAATTGATGCTAAAAGGACATTGAGAGAAATTAAGCTTCTTCGCTACATGGACCATGAAAATGTTAGTATTCTTTTCTTCTCTCTATACTCTATCCCCTACCCCGATAATATGGTTCTTCTTGATAATCTGCATAGTTATTTTGACGCAATTGTTTTGTTAGCTTATATTTATTATTGAATGTTTTCCTTATCCGATGCTTGTTGGAACTATTAAAAAAAAATCATCAATTAAGACACCCATTTTATTATTTCAAAGATTGACAGGCAAAGAAAACAAAAAAAGAAAAAAAACAGAAGAAGATGACCTCAGCAAGTTCCTAACTTCCTGTGATTCTCTTTACGAGTATGGATGTAAAGTCAAATAAAGTGCCTTTGTGTGTGTGTGTGTGTGTGAGAGAGAGAGAGAGAGAGAGAGTGTGTGTGTGTAATAGAATCAATTTTATGTCTTTTCAATCTTTCCGTCTATGTTCATTATCGTTCTGCCCTTAAAATTATTTTGCTGCTTTTGCACTACAAACTGTCAAACTCTTCTCTTTTACTTTCCCTGCCGTGAGAAACTTAAGCAAAGTTCTGTTTCAAGTTTACCTGATTTAGAGTACTAATAAATTAGGCTGCTTTTTGGGAGCGAATAATTTCATATTTTTTATTGAGAAGACCCTGAAACTGACTTAGTAGTGTTGGAAAAACTGTCTCTTCATACAATCACATAAAATTTGAATCACCTAATGCTAGATTTCCTCTGACCTGAACATGAAAGAGTCCGATGTTTTATCAATTTCTCTAAGCTGGGATTTTGATCACTCTATGTACTCGTGCTTCCCTTGAACTTATTGCTTATTTTTCGTATTTTGGATTAGATTCCTGAAATTTCTATCATCTTTCACAGATCATTGCCATTAAGGATATAATAAGACCGCCCAAGAAGGAGACCTTCAATGATGTATACATAGTTTATGAATTGATGGACACTGATCTTCAACAGATAATTCGTTCTGGCCAAACTCTTACCGATGACCATTGTCAGGTTAGGCTGCGGTGATGTTTTAAAAACTTAAGTGCATGTCATTAACTTCTACTGGCAAGCCTTTCCTGGTAATATTTCCTAAATGCATCTAAGTTGTGTTACTGAACAGCGCGAATATAATCATTCTATTCTTGTATGTTTGCAGTTGTTGGTTAAGACGCCCAACTAAAACGGGTTAATGTTTGTATATCTTCATAAAATTGGGTTAGAGTATGATTTATTCTTCATAAATCATATAGAATATCTATTAGATGTTGTGAACTACTCCTTCCGTTCCTTATTATAAGAGACATTTGATGCTTATAGCATGTTCCCATATATAAGAGACACTTAAAAGTTGTCTCTATTTTTTTTGTATTGATTTCCTATTTTACCCCTATTTATTTTGTCTCCAACTCATACTCTCTCTCCCTCCCACTTCTCTTTCTTTCAATAATTTAATTATTCTCTCTCATACTCTCTCTCCTTATTAATGGGGGCATTGTTGGAAAAAACATTATACTTTTTACACATTAATTGTCCTTAACTAATTTTAACTGTTTTTTTTATCAACGTAATTTGGTTATTTGTCTCTTATAATAAGGAACGGAGGGAGTATTTAGATATTTTCTCTAGATTCCATTAGAAAGTGATAGATTTTAACTCGAACTATTATGACTTGTTGAATCTCATGTTGAGAAATATTCCTTTATTGGGAAGTGAAATTTTAGAACCTGGGTGGGATAAATAGATCATGTTGAACGTAAAATCTCCCTTTTTCCTCCTTAAAAAAAACAGAAGATTAGTTTTATGAGAAACGAGTAATCAAGAGCCCCCACCCCCACTCTATAGATTCACTTCAGAATATTAAATCTTGACTTGTGCTTTTTCTCGAGTTTAATGTTTTGCAAGGAATTGATTTTTGCAAGTTCTGCAGTACTTTCTATACCAGCTGTTACGGGGTCTGAAATATGTGCATTCAGCCAATGTCTTGCACCGTGATCTTAAACCCAGCAATTTACTTCTGAATTCAAATTGTGACCTTAAAATTGGGGACTTTGGTTTGGCAAGGACAACAACTGAAACTGATTTCATGACGGAATATGTAGTCACTCGGTGGTACCGAGCACCAGAACTGCTCCTCAATTGTTCAGAGTACACATCTGCTATTGATGTTTGGTCTGTCGGTTGCATCTTTGGTGAAATTATGACCAGAGAACCCTTGTTTCCTGGAAAGGACTATGTTCATCAACTAAGGCTTATCACAGAGGTAGACTTCAGTGCTTCCATATGAAGTTGTAGTCTGAGACTTCTAGATTAAATTACATATCTCTGCTACTAGTTAACTGGTCAAGTGGTAGTCAATCAATAATATCCTTATCCTGCTTAAGGAGTTGATCAATACCTGCAAAGCTTCCTTTCTAAGGGGACTTTATTGTGAAAGCAAAATAAATCTGAGGCTGACTTTGTTTTGAAATAATGCCTCAGGGCTTGTTTGATATGAGGGGAAAGGAGGGGGGGGGGGTAGGAGGGATTTTGCACCCCTCCCCTTGTTTGGGTTGCTTAAATTTTCAGGAGGGTAACCCTCCCCTCCCAAATTGGGGGGATTTAGAGAGAGAGAGTAATATTTTAGCTTATTGTGACTAATATGTCTATAATTGGTTTTTAATATCCCCATATTACCCTTCTGATCTTACATCACATGGGGAATGAATAGTAACTGTTGCACTCTTATTAGATCATCTATCATATGATAAAAAATCCCCTCCCCTCATTAATCCAAACAAAATAATGTTAAGATCCTTCAGTCTCCTCAACCTTGCAACATGTGCTCAAGGTCCCCTAACTGAAACTACTAGAAACAAAAATGTATCGCATTTCTCTTGTTTGCCTTTTCTGCCAATTCTTGCTTTGGAATCCTTAGTTTTAATACAACTTCTAGAATAATATGGGATTATTACAGCTGCTGGTTTGCAAAAGAATTTTACATTTAACATTGCCTAGAAAAAGCTTTTATATTTGTCTAGAACTCGCAGTCATCACCATACTGAAATAAAAGGTCAGGCCCTTCTATGATTCTTCCTGTCTCTTGTTTACCTTCCTGTACCATTCATTATGGTTAATGAATTCAAACTAGTATTAGGCTACTCACACACTCATCTTAAATGATGTTACTGTTAAGAGAATGCAAGGAATGTATAACGCCTGATTTTATGATTCCATTCCTGCTGTTTGTAACACCTCACGCATTCTGTTCGCCTTTTGCTTAAAAGTTAATAGGTTCTCCTGACGATGCCAGCCTTGGATTTCTCCGAAGTGAAAATGCCAGAAGATACGTTAGACAACTTCCACAATGCAGGAAGCAAAAATTCTCGGCCAGATTCCCTAATATGTCTCCCGAGGCACTGGATCTTCTAGAAAAAATGCTCATCTTTGATCCCAACAAACGCATTACAGGTATTCCAGAAGAATTTAAGTTTCAAGTTTCAAACATCTTTATTTTTCTTCTCACATATAATTTCCTTTATCTATTGGATATTTGAGTGCCACGCTCACTTATTTGCAGTTGATGAAGCACTATGTCACCCATATCTTTCATCACTCCATGACATGAATGATGAGCCAGTCTGTCCGAGGCCATTCAGTTTCGATTTTGAGCAGCCAATTTGTACTGAAGAGCAAATCAAGGAGCTCATCTGGAGGGAATCAGTGAAGTTCAATCCTGATCCAGCGCATCACTAGGAAATTCTTACATGTCTGTATAAGTATATTGAGATAAACTTCTTCCACCTTAGATACAGTGCCTCTCCACGGCATCCGGATGTATTGCTAGGAATAGCATTCAACCTCTTTTCCTTGTAATTTAGTCATAAACCAACTTGGACATGAAGGAAAGTTTCTTCTGGAAGATGGACAAACACTACAAATCCTGTTGGATGTGATAGGCATCTATACAAGTTATATAAGCTATTGTATTGTATTGTGTCTGCTTAAGGAGGGAAAGGCCTTGGGGGAGCATTATAGGGTAGCAGAAACTCTGGATTGATCATGGGGTGTTCTTCCTAGTACCTGACAATAATCGTGGGAAGCTGGTTTCCAATCTCATTATTTGGTGCTCGCTCCGTTTGTTTTTTTCAAGTTCTTGTTTCATGGCTAAATTTATTCATTGATACGAAGTTCGAGTACCAGACTAAGACCAACTATGAAAATGCTTTGCGGCGAAATTTTTTTGGATTCCATGACAAGACTATCTAACACAGCTTTCTGATGAAAAAGATTGTCTGCTTATTATACATTTGTTTTTATTCTACACTTGCAAAATTTAAAAGAAAAATTTCCACGAAGGTGGTTAAATGAAATGTAAATGCCTATTTATCATTGACTTTGACTTTTTTTTCGTTGTCTTAATTTGCACTCATCCAGAATTTTCGCTCCGGTAGCACCAATCACGTTACACCCCCGACCTGAATTGAACCACTCCTGTGGCACTGTCACAATTCACAAATACCTTCTTCCATAAGTACATGTTTGAACCTGGAAATTATCGATGGGCAAGCGGTCTTCCGGGAAGGTACATGCCCCAACGTTGTCCGGTCCCTGGTCTTGTAACAGATTACATGGCACAGGAGTCACATCACTTGAAATGCCAGAAACATCAGTGCATGTCCATGGAACTTTTTTAGCCTTCTTTGCCAGTTCAATTGTTACATTAGACATGCAGATTCCAGTAAAAGGGTCTCCAGATATTCCCTCCAATCTTGCAGCCATAGTTACATTGTGGGCTATCATATCACGATAGTGAATATTCTGAATCACAGGCAGTGCATTAGGATCAAACTTATCATCAGCATGAGAGCCATAATTTCCAGTCATCCAGAATGCCCATTTCATGGTGTTCATGATCATCCTTCTCACATATATGTCCTTCACATACCCACCTCTTCCTACAGCAGTTTTGATCCTCACACCTGATTCTGAGTTAATGGCTACTATGTCCTCTGCCCTCACATCTTTAATCCCACCTGACATCTCGCTCCCTAATGCAATCACAGCACTGGTTGGTGAAATACAAGTGAGTCGTCTGATGACTACCTGCCTCGTTGGCATTCCAAAAGCAATACCGTATTCATCCCAACCACTCTTCACAGCCACACAATCATCCCCAGACACTATGTAACAGTCCTCTATTCGTGTGTTTGTGCACGAATCTGCATCAAAAGAATGGACCTTTGTTAGTATTACTATTGAGTAACTAGATTTGTTGCATAAATCAGTTATATAAAGAATGGATTATTCTGCTATCTGGTCCAGCAAGTATTAAGCACCCAAGAACTACGGCCTTTATTAACTTGCAAACTTACCAGGGTTGATTCCATCAGTATTTGGAGATGTCACCGGTGCAAGAATAGTGATGCCTTGGACGACAACATTGCTGCATTCATTATTTTATAGCAGAAGACTTGAAATTGCTTTAGGCTTGGAGTGAAAAAGATTGATTTTTTTTTTTTAATTTATTGTGTGATAGGAAAAAAGCCTGAAATGTCAAAAACAGTTCATAACAAAGACAAGAAGACGGAGTACCTGCTGTACACAGGATGGACATTCCATGATGGAGAATTAACCAGAGTGAGATTGGATATCTGAATGTTACTTGAATGCATGATCTCAATCAAGTAGGGCCTGGTATATTGGAGTTGTTTCTTGTGGAATTTTTGCCACCATAGGTCACCCTGCCCGTCAATTGTACCATTGTCCCCTGAAATCAAATTTGTACTCAATAAATTAGAAGTGAATCTTCTTTTAGAGTCATCAGGACATGAGTTCATTAATTACCAGCTATGATCACATCCGTGAGGTTGGTTCCAAATATTAGACTGCTAAACCTTCCTCCTTGGGCGTCCCTCCCTCGACCATAAGATGGCAAGGGATCAATCACCGGCCAGTCATTTTCATCCTAATACCAAAATTTAATTCCAACAACATGGTTCAGCACTTGACATTATATATATGCTCTTAAATATAGCATTGGCGTAGGAGCTACAAACTGAACCTGGGAGGCAAGAAGTACAGCATCCTTGTGAAGGAATAAAGTGAAGTGGCTAGTGAGATTGAAACTCCCAGTCAACCATCTTCCGGGAGGAACAAAAAGTTGAGACCCACCAGCTGATACATACTGGCTCAGATGATTTATGGCTGCTTGAAACGCTTTAGTGTTCAAAGTGGTTCCATCGCCCACTCCTCCAAATTCAGTCAGGGACGCACTGTAAGCTCTGCAGCTCATGGCACGGTACTGGAAATATTGCAGTTCCCGAGCTCTACGGCTATCCACCACAGTAAGACTTGGTGAAGCAACCATAAGAACTAGTAGTGATAATAAGCCCATAACCTGCAAAATTTCAAATTTCAGAGATTTCATATGTGACCAACTGTACATGGAGGGAAAGGAAAAGACCCAGTTCGATTAAAGAGACAAGGGGCCATTAAATGGGTATTGGTCGGGAAGAAGGCAGGTACCTGAGATTTTGTAGGGCTGAGATCCATTGCTGAGATGGAAGTTGAGGTTTTGGTGTTGTTGTGTTTACATAGGAGGAACATGTAGGTATTTATACTGGTCTAGAGCATTAATATATATTTCCTTGAGTTTTGTCCCCATCATATGTCCTTATAATGGACATGTAACATAAGGAAGGTGAGTGGTAAGGCAAGTAAACAATTTCAATTCGAAGTCTTCTAATGTGAAATAAACTCAAAGGTTAAAAAACTGACTACGGATTGCATATTACTTAGAAACTAAGCTTTTGTTTGTCACACTTTGATCCTTGTCCCCGCTGCTGAATGACATGTTTGTTTTTAAGGATAGGCACAGATCCTAAATATTCATTGAAGTAAAACAGGTTAGAGCTGAGTGCTATTTGCAGCAGATGGGGCAAATGTGAATGAGTTTAACTAGTGGCCAAGAAATGAGATGAGTGGGTCAGATTGTAAGGTAGAGAGAGAGAGGACAGCAGAAGATGATTGGTGTGCTGGAAGGCAATTCAACATGTCTAGATTTATTTCATCATTTTAAATCAGTGCTTCGCTGGTTTGTTTATGGCCAACTTAGCAGGGTCGGCACATCCCACAAATGAAATGGTTCTGCGAAGTGGTGCACTATATCCTCTCCATTTGGTGGACAAAGAGTCACCAATTATCTCTAGTCTATATTTTATTCAATTGAGATGAGATCTTGCATATTCCCAATATGAATGGTCCAAAAATTGTTTAGTTTGGGAAGGAAGGTCCACAATGTCACGGATTGCCTGTCAGATTAGGGAGCCCGTGACCATTATGTTTTTCACAGAAACAAGACATGACACCGTGCACTGCCCTACTTCAATAACAATAATAATCATAATTGAGGTCAAGCTAAATCAAAGGGTTCTGGTCTGGGCATATAATAATGCAGTCCCTGTGGCATATTACATTAAATGACATTTCAGAACCAACAAAGAAAAGGCATACAATTCTTTTGATTTTTTTTTTTGGGTATAAGTCAAGAATATCCTCGAGTTACTTTAAACTTAAAACTAATCTCTATTAGGCCAAGAGCGTTAAAGTTAAAGTGCTTCCTATATAAATAATGTGCTTAATTCTTTTGATTATGTTAATACTAACTAGATCTTATATTTAAGATTAGATATCATATCTTTATTTTCTTTTGAGCCATATCAATCTGTATGATTTACTATCAAGTTGACTGGGGTGGTAGCTAAATGGTCATTCATCAGAAACGACATATATAGAAGTATCGTTCCTATTTGAACGACGGAGTGTATATATGTGTGTGTGCCATTGCAACATAAGCACGGTTCTGTTATCTTCGGCTCTCACTTTCAAATAACTGACGATTGCCCACAAGCTACCTAAATTAAACAGATCAATCAATCAATATGCCAATACATATTAAACAATTAGAATCCCTCACACCGTTGATAAAGTATAGGCAGTGAATTTTGTGGTTGGAGGAAAGTAAAAAGGAAAACCAGGTTTTGTGCTTGTGCGTGGGTGGGTGTTCTTTTGAGGGGGGAAAAAACGAGAGAATTACAATGAGATTTTAAGAAAGAAAAAAATTACAAAACACGCTCTAAAAATTGTCATTCTCTACTAGGTTGCTTAAAATATTATTCAGACTTTTTAGTAATTATTTTTTTTTTAGAATTTAATTATAGTTCTTCCAAAAAAAAACTTTGTCGTTTCCATTATTATTATTAAGGAAAAATTGACACCCCCTCTTGCATTTTATTGTAGTTACCCTTGTTTCTGGGGCTTTTCTTGGCCAGGATTTTGGGATTTTTTGTGTGTATAACTCACATTTATTTTTTGTGTTAATATAAAAAAGCAAGCTTTACTTAAATTGTAAAATGATTCTTGGAGATTTATTTGCATCCATGCTTTTATACTGGCAAACTAATTGATAATTAATTTATATAAAAATTCTTTACATGACATTTTATAACAATTACGTGTATCTTCGTGCATTGCAGGAAATTTTAAAAAAGAATATTATTTATCACTTGAGAATCATTTAACTTATTACACATATACATGTATTTATTCATATTGACTGGTGTCTGTACGCTTTTCTTCAATTTAAAATAGCGCTCATCTCCTCTATATTTATAGGATAGAGACAAAATGCTTTTTTTTTTGTCTCATTTATAGAACAAAAGAGAAATTTTTCAAATGAATGTATAACTTTTCCATTCTCTATTATAGTGTTGAGTTTGTTCTCATGAGATATAATACTACCTCCGGTCCTTAATATAAAATCCTGTTTAACTTTTATTTTGGTCCTAAATATAAGACCCTAATCCAATTTGTTTCTTATATTTATACATTTTTTTCCAAAGTAACCCTTCTAATAATGATAGTTATAATTAATACACTTGATTAGCAAGGATATTTTAGGAAAAACAACACCTATTTAGGACAAATAACTAACTCAACTTACTTCCTTAATCTCCTCAAATTAGTCAACTGGCTCTTATAATTAGAACCGGAGGTAGTATATATATACTACCTCTGGTCTTATTTATAAGACCTAGTTTATAGACTACAAATGAGGTCTTATAAATAGGACCAGAGGTAATATTAAATAAGAAAAAAGTTGAAAAGTTATTAAATTTTAAGGCAAAGTTAATGAAGTTAAAAAAATTTTTTGGTTCTGTATAAAACATGTTGGAAGTAACTTATAAATAAGAGAAGAAAAGTATATGGGTAACTCTGGTATACACTCATTATGTCACAAATTATTTGCATGGTTTAATTTAAATTAACTAACTTTACAGGGAAAAAAAGTTTAGAAATCTATTTAATGAAGTAAATTATCAGTTCTGTTTCAGTAAATTAGTGATATTCATCAATGGCAAAGCTCATTTGGAAAAAAATAAATTATTTTATCTTTTATTAGACCAAGAGTTATCCATGACGGATTCATCATCAGATTTTATGATAATATATAGTGAAATGTAATTCTTCCTAAATTTTAAAATTGAATCTCATTAACAATTATTAGAAGCTACACTTTGTTTATTTTTAAATTAGAGGAAGGGAACAAAATTAAACCGCTTAAAGCCTTAAACTAATGTACTGTAATTCTCTTTGTGTATCTATATCGTTATAAATTCTTAAATCGGTTACATCGTACTGCCCCGTGGAGGGAGTTAGAACTTGAATTCTTAAATTGACTCCCTCAAAAGAGGAAAAAAAAATTTTAAAAAAAAAACAAGAAACACTTGAATTAGTATTGCATGATAATAATTGAGAGATCAACACTAAAGAATTAAGAAAAGAATATAAAATTGAGGCAGGAGAAGATTCTCAGCAAAACTAGAGGGTAAAAAAAAAAAACAAGAAGAAAAACTAGCCAGAGGACTTAATTTCTGCCCGATGGGATTTGCACGATAATCAGAGTTAATTATAGACGTCAAAGCAGTCGTAGAATTGGTAAAGCAAAAGAACAAAAGAATATCTATTTCAAACCTAATGGATTGCTGAAACAAGCTAGGAGGGAGCAAAAATTAGGCACCGTTTGGATGCACTTGCAAATCATGGTTTGGAAGCCCAAACCATGGTTTGCACAAAATGCTATCCAAATACCCCCCTCAAAAACCAAAACCATGGTTTTGGGCCAAACCATAGTTTTGGAAAAAGCAAAAAATTTTTGCTTTTGGAGAAAAAAGGAAGAGCCTATAGGATATGTATCTTTTTATTTTTTTTATAAACATATTTTTTTATAAACATATTTAATCTTATATTTTATAAATATATATACATATTAATTATTTATTAATTATAGTATCTTATGTATTATTAATTATGTTAATAAAAAATATATTATTAACAATTTTATTCCTCTAAATTAAAATATATCATAAAATCTATTTTTTCTGTAATTATCATATTAACTTATTTCTTTTTTTTTAGTAATTTGTATATATAAAAAATGCTTCTGATAACAACTATCCAAACACTCTCACTTCTCAAAATCACTTTTTCATAAAATCTATTCTTCCCAGAATCTATTCTCCAGAATCACTTTTCCAAACCACGATTTGGTTTCATCCAAACACACCCTAAATAAGTGATCTGCCAGCAGAGATTCTTTGCATGGCATACAATGATCAGAGACTTGTAATCACTGACACACCACCCTCCTCAAAACTATCTCACTGAACTCTAAGCATCCACACATGGCGTCCCTACCTCTTTCTTGTGTTCCTAAAAATGCTAGTTTTTGGTCAATTCTTCAGAGTTCACGCACAGCCAAACACTGATGAGACAGACAAAGAACTTTTTCTCGAGTCCATCATCAGGAATCATTCTAGCTAGCATTTTAAGACGTGTGTGTGTGTAGGTTAACCAAAATTGAAAAATCGAGAAACTATCTCCGGTAGACACACACACACATATATATACTACTCCCTCCAATTCTTATTATAATACTACTTCCGGTTCTAATTATAAGAGTTAGTTGACTAATTTAAAGAAATTAAAGAAAGAAGTTAAATTAGTTATTTGCAATAAATATGTGTTGTCTTTTTTAAAATATTCTTACTAATTAAGTGTATTGGCTATAACTACCATTGTTAGGAAAACTATCTTGAAAAAAATACATAAATATGAGAGACAAAATGGATTGGAATCTTATATTTAGGATCAAAATAAAAATCAAATAAGATTTTATATTAGAGACTAGAGGTAGTATAAGCTTCATTGACGATGGCAAGTGATTAAGTGAAACGCTAGGTCTTTGTTTGCCTGATAGTTTTCTAATGGACTTCAACACACACACACACACACACATATATTTGTGGGAGAGAACTATATATATAAGCTATGGAACGGACATACTATGGTCGAGACCAATAGACTACTATATGAACTGGATTCAGCTCACTGTCAGTGCATGATAATTCATTAATTCCTACGAAAACTTCCACATATATCACTTTGCTTATAAATATCAAGTACGCATACGCAGTAGATCCACGAGACTCTTTGATGAGATTGAAAAGATAAGATTCTTAGCTTCTTTTCTCTTTATTTTATTTTTATTTTTATTTTGGCCAGAACATTCCTTTTCCGTATTGTTTGCAATTCATCGACAGGCTAAATATTGGGGTGTGTGTGTATGGAATTAATGGGGGAAAAAAACGTTACATTTGAGGTTAAATTATTCAAACGACCATATAATTAAGGAATATATAGGTTAATGTTATAAAAGTACTACCTCTTATCTCTAATATAAAAGCTAGCTAAGGATTGAGTTTAATTCTAAATATAAAACCTCAATTTATTTTGTCTCCCATCCTTATCATTTTTTCCTAACTATTTCTATTAATTGTATATGTTAAGAGAGTTTGTATGAAGGGGTAGTTTTAATACAAATGATATAAAAGAATATTTCAGGAAATAAGTACACATTTTTAACAAATAATTAATTTAACTAGTTTTTTTAATCTATTTAAATTAATTAAGTATATCTTATATCAAGCAATGAAGGTAGTAATATCTTTATCCAAGATTTAGAAACAAACAAAACTGAAAATAGTCTCATGCCAAATCCATGCAAGAGAAATTTTTTCACTGTATCATTTTCTTCGATCTTTGCAAACTCTTCATCTCATCATAACATATGATGCATGAAAATTAACCTCAAGGCAGACAAATACAATCTGTCCAAGATAAAACATTTAGTATTTTCTGCTCTCATAACAGCTAGTGTCTGCGTAAATCATATTAATTGTATACACTTGGTTTAAACCTTTCTTGTTTTACTTTATAAACTAGCTAGATATTATAACCCTGCAAGGAACGAGTAACATTAATTCAAATAAAAGACAAGTCATTAATTTATGTGACAAATTATAAGAGTCCTTGTGTCCCACATCAAATCAAGATATATAATACATGAAAAACGATACAGCTAGATCAGAAAAGAGGATATAAAAGGCGCAGCCCAATTCAGGTTAATCTCTGCAGTAGTCATAGTACAAGTCAGAAGCAGCCAATTTTTTTGAAGTAGATTCCTATAGAATTAATTATTATATACAAGATTAGATTAGATATATCAGATTGGATTCTTTTAATTTGTCTGAAGACAGAACTCCATAGTCAATCGCATGCTATTGTCCTCGTCCCTTGATGGAGAGAGGAAGTGCAAGTAGTGTTTCCACCTCGTACCACTGGTACTTAATTTGTCGAATAATAATATATAGTCACAGCCAAAATTTAATTCCAGATTGATTAAGAAAAGGTAAAGCGTAGAAAGAGTTGTGAATTAATCATGGTTATTAAGGTTCACATTGCAGAATATATATTCCCCATGTCCAGCGTTATATATAGCAGACAAGACTAAGCCGTAAAGCTTTAATTTCAGCAACAACTTAAAACCTATACAAGTTCTACAAATTAAATGAGGAAAGCAATAATGAAGAAAGTGGTCAGTTTCATATTAACTAATGATCTTAAAGAATTAAAAATATATATACATTCTTCAGTGCCAACCCCTACGTATCAAAATATATAAACATTACGAAAAGACAAGCAATACAAAACACAAATATATGGCTTTTATTACTTATGTTGTAAAGTACAGCCAGAGAAAACTACCTGAGAAAGCAGACACCTTGATATATTACTACTATTAAGGATTTTTTTGCTAGATAACATATACGGAACGGTAAAGATCCACACCGAAATAAGACTTGTATTTGGTCTGACTGATTTTAAGTTTTTAACTGCACACACCATCTTCTGAAAACAAGCAACCCCAATGACGACAAGAGGACACGATTAATCCCTTATTTCACTCGCTTTTTCTCATCCTAAAATTAGGCATACATATGTATGATGGCCGTGATTTTGTGAGTGATTATCCCAAAAGCTGCAATATCTTGGGAGAAAGATTATGATCACTTATCTCCAAACAAATACCCAAGAGAGGAATCTCCTCCAGGAACTGATTTGACTTTGGTGGAAGGGCGATCCTGAAATGGTGACAAGAAGTAAAAGATCATAATTATAATTAAGGTTGAAAATGGCATGTTTAAGTGAGGAAAACTTACAGTGGGGAAGGTTCCCGCATGTTGGCCATGAGCTCGGGAAAAAGCGTTGGAGACGTGTTGGGGATTTTGGCTTGAAGAAGGAGAAAGGGCAAGCTTATTGTGAAAGATCTGATCAGTGTTAGAAGGCATATCAATGCCATATGGTGGAAGTGACACTTTCTTTGAAGGAGCTGATTCCTTTGGCTGCTCCTCTGACCCAAACAGATACCCCAAAGAACTTTGTCCTCCGCCATAGCTTTCTCCTCTGCTCATCCTTCTCGATCCAGTTCCCTTCAATTAAGATCTCTCTGTCCTTGCAAATGTTATGTACCAAAGGGAATATAACCCTAATATGATCCTCTCTCTCTCTCTCTCTCTCTCTGTGTGTGAAACTAAATGGGTGTTAATGACAATACACCATACCTAATCCCTCATTATTGACAGTAAAAATTGCACTGTTACGTGAATAGGTTAAAGCAGCATATGTGGAAGAATCATCTCAGCTCATGGGCGAGAGAATTTTCCTAGCTTCTTACACGTTTTATCATGACACACAGATGGTTCCAACAAGTTCATGAGTCCTTTAATTTCATCCTCAAATAGTTAATCAAGAAGTGACGCTTTTCCACTTGGGGGAAAATGAACAGAAATTAGCCCCCCCCCCCCAATTTTTAATTGTTGTCGATCCCTCCAAGCAGGAAGGGGGAACAGAAAAGTATAAGGAAACATAGCAACAACAAGAATTCGTGCTCTTCAATTATAGAATTCTTTTTGTATCTGTCCAAAGTTATAAAGTATATATTTCCTAGCTAATATAAAGTTTTAAAATTATTTCATACCTAATGTTCAAATACGGCAGGCGGAAAGAGCTCGAGTTCTTCACACACACACAAAATCCTGGATTATATGCATATATAGGGAGCTATAGTTAGTCATGTCCTTTTGAATGTTAAATGGATTTTTAAGCAATGTTGTTTCATTTTTGGCACGTTAGTTAAAATTGTATAATTGATACATATTTATCATAACATGATTAAACTTTTTCAATTTATCAAATAATTATATTTCACTAGCTAACACTTAACCCCAAAATGGTAAATGTCAAATGATACCTAAAAGGTATCATCATGGCTATTATTTTCATTTTAATTATTTCATGCATTGAGTAATTTATCAGCTAATTGAGTTAATCTTGGCTTGACAGCATGTATTAACTGAAGTTGACCAGTGATCAGCTCATGTCTCCACCAACATACTCGCTCCATTCAAATGATTTTGATGGTTTTGCTTGAATAATTAACCTAAAAAATGCTAATCAATATAATTCAATAATTAACAAAAGATTCTTTCCTATACATTGTCTTTGTCATAACGCTGAAGCATAAACAATCACGTGATGATTAAAACAATATTTGTAATCAGATCGATAAAGTGTTATACCAATGTCCAATGTATACGAATATAACATAAGAATGCGCCAAGTCTCTATTGGTTTGCTTACTAATTAATAACTGAATCCTTTCTATATCGATTTAATTATTTTTGTTTAGTACGAATCCCTTGAAGTTTTTATGTCGTTAAAATCCATTCCAACGGCTCAAAACCACCGAATTAATGTAGCACTTCTCACTTGTGATTTTTAAATGTTATGCATATTAATCTGTTTTATTATATTTTAGTTTTGTACGTTATGGTTCATAAATAATTAATTATGATATGGCACCATACGCATATATAGTCTTTGAGTGGTAAGCAAATACTAAATTCCTCCCTGTAGTATCATCAAAAGACGTCCAGGTGAAGTTGCCGATCATGCAAGTTGGTAACTAAACGGTTTATTAAAAAGAACAGGGATCGGAGTTAACTAGGATGGACGGAGCAGGAAAGTCAGAATTGAATTGAGCATCGCTCGAAAAAAGTTAAAAGCAAGTAATATATGTGAAACTGTCAAATCCGTCTGGACAGGATGATGTGGAATGGGCCTAAATGGCATTATTAAGGTTGCCAATAACGGCAGTATTGCTTAAATATAATGGGGTTAAATCATAAAGATAACGCACTGTGGCTCTAATATAGCTGTGAGAATGAAGAGCACACAAAGTATGGAATAGTAACGTGGACCCAGTTCAGCAGTTCTTACTATTTCAAGTAAAGAGATAAGGAAACTATACTAATTAAGCAGAGTTGGGCGGGCAGGGTGGCTCTGGTAGGGCAAGAGAATCCAATAACAGTGAAACCATTGTCTTTGCCAGTTCATCAGATATATACATATATATTGCAGCAGTTGGTTGTAGCTGGTTTGAGAAACTAACACTTTACAGATTAGCCACAAAGATGACTCTGATTCTGTTGGAATGATCAAAATATTAACTGAGATGATCCTCTCAATAAGACTGACACGGGCAGGTCAGTATGACTCGTCACTGGCCCATGAGATGATCAATAATGTCTTGTCAACGGTATTCATCAGATAGGACGGTGGCTGGCAGGTTCAGCACCAACCGGCCTCTTTAGCGTGTATTTAATACTTGTTCCATTCTTAATATAATATTTATTTAATTAATTTAATTAAATTTAAAAAGTTATATCAGTTAATTAATCATAAAAAATATAATATATTTTTTATAAAACATCATAATCATCTTTCTTAATGTCTTTCTTTACTTAATTATAGTTAATGAAATATCTATAGGAATAATTTAGAAAAAATAAATAAATATGAGAAAGGCTAAAGCATACATTTGGTTCTTTAATTTTGTAGAAAATTTTAATTTGGTCCCTTAACTTTAAAAAGCATACATTTGGTCCTTTAACCTTAAAATCATTAGGCTTTAATGATGATTTTTTGTAACGATTATAGATGTTTTGAAAATCAAACTTAATATGTTAGTATTTGAAAATATTTTATCAATATTTAAGATCTTAATCTCATCATTTCTTAAAAAAATTTTAGAGTTAAAGGACTAAAAATATACTTTTTAAAGTTTAGAGACCAAATTAAAACCTTGTGCAAAGTTAAATGACCAAATGTGTACTTTAGCCTATGAGAAATAACTCTTATATTTAGGACTAAAATTGACTTAACAATTAGGTCTTATATTAAGGACCAGAACCTGAAGGAGTATAAGAACTAGTAAAATAATTTGAGTAGATTAAAAAAATTAGTTGAGTTAGTTATTTGTAATAAATAAGTATTATTTTTCCTAAAATACTTTTACTAATCAAGTGTATTGGCCACAACTATTAGTATTATAAGAATTATCTTGAAAAAAAATAGATAAATATAAAAGATAAAATAGACTGGGGTCTTATAGTTATGACCAAAATAACATTTAAACAAATTTTTATATTAAGGAGTAGAGGTAGTATAAAAAGAATAGGAAGAAAGTCAAATGATTAAGCCAAAACCTGAAAGAAGGACGTCCTTAATTAACCCAGCGAACAACAGACATGTACTAACCCCTAACTATGTGCTCGTATTTGAGAAGGGCTTTGAATTCAAAAGCAGACCTGATTAATGTGTACCACCTTTGTTGGACAATATGTATATGGGGGGACTATTAAAAGTGTAAAGTTGGGATGGAGGTGCCTTTTCCTTTGGTCTCAGCCTCACAAAGTTGGCGATGGGGTGGATGGTGTATTTAACTCCCTAATTAATTAAAATGATTCTTCCCTGATTAATATTCTCCCTCTCATTTCTCACTTGTGACCCTAGACTCACTCTTAACCGTGAGAGCTCAACTGTTTAGGTGAAACGTACTCATCTCTCATCTTTTGTTTCTTCATTTATTTATTTTAAATTTCATTTTATCTATGCCTCTCTCATAACTTTTTTTCTTTAGCACTCCAAGTTTATTTAAAAAAAAAACACTCAACGTGACTCGGAAGCTCTAAGTCCAAATGGCCTAGCTTTTGGGCCACTAACTTTTGCCACCAATAAAACACTTGCCGGGCTGAAAATGATATTACTTTTGGATTTTGCTTTTGGGCCGTGGAGAAAAGTTGGATCGTTAACTACATAAAATTTGCCGATTAGTATTTTGTGTGGTTTAACCATATATTCCACATAATTTCGTATATCACAAAGACGAGACATTGACGCGTACTTTATTATGATATGTATGATATGTATCATCTGTGATCAACAAATGCTCCCCACAGGATCAGTAGGGGTAACCCCCTTTGATCTAACAAGGTCAAATAGAAATTTGATAACTAATTTCCCTCGTCAATTTCTCTCCGCTTAATATTTTTGTCGATTTATTTTTAATAATTAAAATTCAAAACTATGCAGAAATATTGCTCTTTTAATTTTAATATAATTTACATTATAAAATATATTTTTAATGATAGTATTATATTTAGAATTGGAAAAATATTATGATATAGATATAATAAAAATATAGGTCGGTTAAAACAAATCTGTGACGGGGTAGAGCCACGTGGCGAAGGAAACGATACTTCGGGAATTTTCTTGCAGCTTCGTCAGCATCAGAAGACAGAAGTAGACTCATCCCGTCATCCGCCTGTATTAGTTGCCGGCTCTGCTTGCCCCAGGCTCCATCTCAATTTTTGTAAGTTTTTGGGCTTGTAAGTTTCATCTCTTTTCTTTCCCTCCTTTTATTTCAAATGCCTTCTTTTCACTCTCTGTGTTGTTTCATTTCGGCGTGAATTTATGCTCAATTTCTACTTCTCACCGAATGACAATTCTGTTTCATTTTCTTTTTCCGCTAGTTTGATTGTAGTTCCGCGGTATATATGCCTGTAACGTGTTATTAAATATGCTTTATATTTTATGCGCGTGAGATTGCAGAAGCAGCAGTACATTCACTGTGATCTATATGCGTGGCCCTTTGCTCTTGGCTACTAACAAGAAACTGAAGCAAATCTTGAAGGTTAAAGGATCAGGATCATGCGGTGAGTGCTATTACCATGTTTACTTAATAGATTCTGTTCTACTGTGCTTCCCTTGAGCAAGGGCAAGATGCAGGGGATGCAATCGCTACTGTGTGTGTGTGTGTGTGTATTATAATTAGAAAATAATTTGATGTTTGAAGCAGGTGTGATGGCGACTTTGCCTCCTAAGAAACAGGCGAACAATGAATTTAGCGAAGAGAAAACTATTACAAAAGAGAACACTGATCCTCTTGTAGCCTTCAGCAGACCCCCACCGTTTCCCCCAGATCTTGGACCATTAGTCGCTCTCACACTGTTAGGGACGTGGTTCAACGGTGACAACGATCGTAAATCTTGATCACAATTCACAGGTGGTATGACAAACTAATTTCTTGACAATCAATACTCGCTCATCACGAACTGTCTTTTATGCTGTGTTACTTAAAGAAAATCCTAGAAATGTAAACTGCGATGTTGTATATATAGCCGAACAATCGGGCAACAATGCTCCAAATCTTGATGTACCATCCTAGTAGTGGGTTGACAATGAGAGGTGCTATAAGTGTGGTGTAAATTTTTGTTATCATCTTCAGCACTTTATAATGACTGTTTAAGAACCCTGCAAAATATGGTAGCCATTGTTAATATGAATGCATACCCTGTGATGAATCTCTGGATTTTCTTTCGCTGATATTGTAAGTTTTCTTTGAAAATAGTGCTTGAAAGGAAGTAGAAAGATCTGAGAACGCTGACTTACACTCTGCTGCCCTTGGAAAATCATCGAATAATGAAGTCACAGTCTTCAGCAGAGTCTGTTTTTTTTAATGAGGTGGAACACCAGCGCATTCAGCAAATGTGAAAGGCAAAAAAATAAATAAATGAATAAATAAAACAAAAAAAAAACCAAGAGTTTAATAGTTAGCTACTCCAATTGCGAATCTGAAACACAAGTACTTTTGATACGGCGTTTCAATTTTTGATTGAAACAGCTTACCCTTGCGGACTTACCAGAACTATGCTTCCAGGTTTAATTGGCGATTCAATTAATACAACAGCCTTCCTGCGAATGGTTTTGTGGTGAGACTATGGTTATCGTAATGGAAGACAATTTTTTTTTATTGGTAGCATTGAGTTTGTTTTACTGTACTTGATAGTTAGTGTGTCTCCTCCTTTTGTGAACTCGAAAAAGGTGCAACCTCTGGTAAATGGGACCTGCGTACCTTTCCATTCTGCCATGTGTATAACACACAAATCTTCATAATTTGTTTAAAAATGATGAACAAGATATGACAAAACCGTAGGGAACAGATATCTGAGAAGAAATAAGACCTAGATGCCAAGTCGCAGTAGCAGTATTTCCATCTCCCTCGCATATATGGCCAACCTTGAATTTCACATTCTGACCCATGCTTGCAGTGAGCGTGTTGAAGAAGTTCATAACTTCCTGCAACATTCAGGGCAAAACTTAGAATATCTGGCGTAGTTAGAGAATGAGACGTAGCTCTATTTCCGGATACAAAATAAATTCAGAACACATTACGTACGCCTTTTCCATTGAAGGGTTTGAGAAAAGAGTAGTCGTCAAATTGAGCGTCCTTGGATATGCATTCACCTAGTTGTTGCAGATTTTTGTCATTGATGTTGGTGTAAAACTGCTTCACTTTTTCTGATGGAGACTCTGAAACTGACGAAGAGTCAGAGCTTAGGTCTAAGGCCTGGGGTGAAATCCTGGGGTTGTCCCAGAATAGGTGTTGCGTTTTTCTTTTGAAACTGACATTGTGTTGCTGTATATTAGTCTTGTGTAGACCAAAATTGCATGTTGTGTTGAAGGACAAAGACCTCGAGGCGAGCCTTGGAGTGATAATGTGGGACTTAACACCCTGGTTTGCTAGTGAAGTTGTGCCTGGGAATTTGAGCAGAGTGTCCATTTTGGTGCTGAAGCATAGCAACATGCTGGTAGTGAAAGATAATATATTGATGCCTTTGTGCTTGAAGGGAGGAAAGGAATGGTTGGTTTCTTCTAGCTGTAATCAAGGAATAGGTGCCTGGTTTGCTTGGCTGGGTGTTTGTGACTTTACGTGAAATCTAAGAATATTACCTTGAATCCATGAAGTTATTTGTTTCTTGGTCGCTTAATAGTCCTTCCAGTACAACAAAGTGAACGAACTGAATCATTTTCATTGCTCCATGCATACATATGTCCGTTGAAAGCACGTTACATAACGATATGAAGTTTCAATATATTCCTTTTTGACGCCAGTTATGCTTTGGATGAGACGCACATTCATGAGATTTAAACCAGTTGCTAACGATTTTTTGCCCGAAAGTTCCGGGAAAAAAAAACTCGTGATGATGTAGTTAGTTATCGGCAAACAAGTTATTAGTGTTCTCAAAATTGGAACGATATGACGCGCACAACTCGGAAATTGGACCAAAATAATAAAACATTTTTTTTTCACTTTTTCACTTTCATTGAATTTTTTTTTTAATTCGAGTAATATTACAATACAAAGTTCATTTATTCTTTATTTATTTTTTCAAAAAAGTATTTATCCACTTTAAAAATGTCATTGACAAATGAAAAGAGTGCAGACCGGAAAATTACACAAAACCAATAAGAAAAGTTTGTTATGAAAATGAAGGACTAAGGAGGAGTAGAGGATAAGGTCAAAAAAAAGGAGTAGTAGAGGAAAGTGGAAGCATCATTCACATGCTTTTCAATTTTCCTGGCATCTTTTCTCCATCATTTTTTGTTGGGCCAAAACCCCTTGCATACTTTCTCAAAGGCACCCGGACTTTATCTATATGTAGACAAAGGTTATCCAAAGGAGGACGTGCCAGAATCTTTTCACAAAGCTAGAGCCCAAAGAGTCAATGGGTCTAGGGTATTTGTCCATCTCCCTTCTTTTTCTCCATAGGATCATTTTAACTCGAGAAAGAACCCAACTTGAGGCCCCAGTAACACTCCTTGATCCATATTGCTGGTTTTTAGAGTCTCAAATTTGCTGCCGCTGCTTCATCATCATTATTCTGGAAACTTTATTTTATGTTATTAGCTTTTATAGGCGGTGCTTATTTCTAAATAGTCAAATAACTACGAGACAGCCGGTGTATAGATGTATAAATATATAGTATAGGCTCTAGGCTTAAAATTAACAAAGTTGACTTAAAAGGCATTTGTCTCCTATGCGCAGTTTTAAATCTATTATCTAAGCTCGCTCATTACGTGAGAGCCAATCTAATTCTGAACAACGAGGGAGATAATATATAAGATGCCAGTGCACAGTGGGTACATGTCCAGACAAACAAGAGACATGCCTGTTTGTCCCCACCTTAATATTATCTTACATGAATCGCTATATGATAACACAACGGTTCACTGGCAAGTGGCAAATGGATTGACAAGAAACTGCGAGGAATTGGTCACATGATTCATATTATGCAGTTAAATTTCCAAGTTCTGCTGGACGATTCTGCATATCGTGGGGTAAAGGTAAATAATTAAGTGCACTCTTATTATATACTGAACAATCCTCCCCGCGAATCGGCTTCTTCACCATGTGATAGCCTAATCATGACAATTTGCAGATAATGATAATACATATCCAAGTTTTGTTTGTCAATGGGGGGTCTCTGCAGTAACTCGTAATATTGTAGAGCCAACTTGTGATGATCCCTGCAACTGAGGACAAAGCTTTGAAGAATAACACGTCTTGTTCCCTCAGCCTCGTCCAGAATCTTGCACCAATTGTCCCCAACAAAACAACATCCCGAGAAATTAAAAATCTCCTCACCAGAAAGAAACATCCTCAAGGTCCACAACGTAACTCTCTGGACCACCTTCCACGCTCACGTGTTCATCTTTCCCGCCGCCACAGCCTCCAAAAATTTTTTATACGTATGTGTCACACAGATTTGGATGTGGATGCTCAACAAAGGAATCTTGTAGGATTGGAAACATGAGTTGGCATGCTTCCCAACCTCCATATTCCCTCTTGTGCCTCGAATATGAAATCTTTAAGTTGTCGTCAGCCAGAGGCAGGCATTGTAATTAGGATTACTGTTATATAAACTGAACCAAGTTCAGGTCTGTGGTATAATAGGATCAATCACAAAGATCAGATCAATTAAGTGAGAGAGATGAAGAACAGGGTGGGTCAGTTTCCAGAGTGGAAGAGGTTGAGAGGGGCGAGGCCACTTCCAAGGAGAGGGCAGATTAAATCAAAGATCGCTGCAAATGCTCTTCACTCCATCTTCTCTGTGCTTTCCAGAGCCTCTTCTTCGTCTCGCAGAAAAGCTTAGCACTTTTAACGTGTGTGTTCATATCCTCATCGTCCATTGTATTTTGGTGGGTCTTTTTTAGCTTTTGAGCATCAGTGTGGATTTTGATCATTTTTCTGGGATGCTTTTTTGTAACTACGGCACTGTTATAACCATGTAATGCGGTTCCGGGCATCAAAAGCCGCTTCTTTGGCTTTATATATGTGCTAATTCTTCCTGCGCATATGACGGAAAGTTGATGAGATCTGCACAATTTAAATACACTTATTAATGACTGAATACCGTTTGAAACTGGCCGTGGCTGAGCCCAAAAAGTGAAAAAAAATCTTCATAATTTTATTTATTATGTATATATACTAAGTCATGAAGGAAACTTGAGTAAGATCCATTAATGTCATTTAATTTCTTGGGGATACCCGATGATAAATTGTTAGTACTTACTACTTATAGACATCCGGATTGCGAACAAAACGGATGGCATTTGTTACTTGTGCAAAGGAAACAAAAAAATGCAGCTAAAAAATTATAATAAGTATGCATATTTTATAATAGGGACGTATTTACTTGCTCTGTTTATATCTCAACAAAGTATTAAATGTTTTGTTTCTTATTTTGGCCTTTATTTTTGCGTTTGTCAAAAGGAGCATCTAACAACTTCATCTTATTTATAGTGCATTCGGTGCATTATTGATGTTATTTTCCTAATTCATCCCGCACTTATTGATATTATTTTCTAGTTACATTTAGTACTCTAATATTTAGAGACACTGAATGCATTATAAATAATATTAAGGTATTAAAAGTATTAGAAAAATAATATCAGAGTACTTGATACATCAGAAATAAGATTAGAAGGCAAGATGTACATAAAAAAATAATATTAAGATGTTACATGTTATTTTAGCCTTTATTAATGGTCGAATAGTATTTACTTAAAGAACACTAGGGGCAATTACAAAAGTAACGGATGGATTGGTTTTCAGGAGTATTTAATGATTTTCTTGGCTGATGTAGAAAATGTCTTGGTGACCCTTTTTGTAATACGAAGGAAGTACTAATAAATTATCAATCATCAATTAAACAAAAAGTAAACAAACATTTAACCTTGAGCAAAAAGATAAAGATTATTTTTTATTGTTCTGATCTTGATCCTACGCCCCACGATGAGTAGAACATCTTTATTTCTTTTATTTTCTTTAAGCAGCACCAAATGTGAAAAATCATGGAACGCCCATGGTGCCTAAATGGCGTCAGGTTAAATACATCTAAGAATATAATTGAATTGGTCCGTTCCCAACTTTAGAATGCCATGCCCGAAATAATCAGGTCAATTGAGTAGGCCTATCAACATTGTATAATTTAGGTAAAAGTCCACTGTTGTTGGGTGAAGGCCAGAAGAGCCCATAGATCTGGGAAAAAAAATTAAAATTTAAAAAAAAAATATATTCTTATAATTGATGAATTTTTTAAAAAATCTAAATAAAACAGATGCCGCTGTTTCGTGTCTACGGACCATAGGGGTTCTTGCTTTCATAAATCTCAACTTGAATTTCCAATAATGGAAAAATTTGTTATACCCGCTTCAGTCCTAAATATTCTTCCGATCTTTAATATAAGACATATTTAATTAATTTGATTAGATTAAAAAAATTAGATAAGTTACTTAATTATAAAAAATATGATGTATTTTTTTTAAACACTATAATCATCTTCCATGAAATCATCTCTCCTTTTTCTACTTGATTATAGTTGAGAGAATATCTATAGGGATAATTTAAAAAAATTAATAAATATGAGAAATATGTCTTATATTTAGGATCAAAATCAACTCAATAATTAGGTCTTACGTTAAGGACGAGAGGAGTATAAAACAACTTTATCAACAAACATAATTTGATTATAACTATAAAGGTTTTGATCTACTTCTTTTTTATTTAACACTCTCGTTAGTTTATAATTTTTCTGATCCTCTCTGTCTCCTGCGTTTGATATACTCATCAAATGAAGCGTATTTAAGAAAAAGATTAACATTATCTTTACAGTGTTTTACGAACTAAAAATTTTTAGGCGAACTAAAATAATACTCCTCCAATCCATAATATAATACTTAATTATTAAATTAATTTTAATTCCAAATATAAGACTATTTTTTATATTTATAAATTTTTTTAAATTATCTTATAGATACTCTTTCAACCATAATCATGTAAATAACAGAGGAAAGATATTTAAAAAAATGATTATAGTGTTTTAAAAAACATATTTTATATTTTTTATAATTAACTAACTTACTTAACTTTCTTAATCTAATCTAATTAGTTAGATAAGTCTTATATCAAGGAGTATCAAATTTTAGAAACAAAAATAAAAATAAAATCAAACTTGGGATGATAAGTATTAACCCAAAAAGAAGCAATCCACAATTTTACACAATACTAATAGTCAAAATATTGTCCTAATTAATCTCTTTAATAACCAAATCTTATATTTATATCACATTGCACTGGCCACCGTACAATATTATTTGTTAATATAACACTCAGATCAGTAATTACCAACCATCCATTTTTTGAATTCTAATAAATGGTTGAGGATGAAATGCGGACGGTCGTCAGATCTAACACGCTATCACTTTGTTTTAAATTACTTGTGAGAAAATATAGTAGTATTTAACGCTCTCCTTGATAAAGGCAAAAGTAGAAGACTTTATCTATCTAATATTTCTTTTCGTATTAGAGAAACTCTTTCACGCGACAAATAATAAGGACCAGAGTAATATAAGTCACTCATAGGGTCATTAATAAGCTTTTTCTAATTTTATTCTTAATAATTCAATAAATGCAAAAAAAGATGAAATAAGTAGGTGGAAGAAAACATAAAACATATTGTTGACGCCTTTTTTTAGTGAGAGCAAATGTAAAAAAAAAAAAAAATCAATATAATGTACTTCTTCGGTCCTTAATATA